CTTTACTTGTACTTCTTGTATTTTACTGTTTAACCATATTCCTAGTAAGTGAACTATTTTATATTTTAGTTCTTCTATTATCTTGCTTTTTCCATATATTACTACTCTTTTTTCTTTTTCAATTTTTGTATTCATTATTATTAGTTTTGACTTTAATCCATTTATTTTTATATCGTTTATTTCAAAGAATTCTTTAGCTATTTCTAGGATCTCTAATAATTGCCTTTTACTACTTGCAATCCATGTTGTATTATCTGTATATGCAATTGCTGCTTGATGATATCTTGTAATATTGTTGCATTGCATACTTTTTTATATTTGTTGTTCAACTGTATACCTTAGCTTTTCATCTTTTTGAATTCTTTCTAGTAGTAGATTATAGAAAAGATGCCATATTAATAGTAAGATTACCTCACCTTGGTCTATTCCATCTTCTGCTATTAGTTCTTCCATTAGGCCATAGGCTGTAATTATTTTTAATTGTCTCTTGTAAAAAAGCTTCAATATATATTTAATTATTATTTTGGGTATTTTAACTCTTTGCAATGCTAGTTCAATACTTTCAAAAGAAACCAAGTTAAATGTCTTTTTTATATTTTGTAGCAGTATCTATATTTCTTTATCTTTTTCTTTTGCTTCCTCCATTATCATGTTTAGAATCTGTACTAGTTGCTCAGTTGAGTTTCTTGAGAGGTCTGTGAAGTTTGGTTCTTTAAGTATTTCTCTTTTTATAAATATTTTGGCAAGTCTTTTTGTTATTATCTTTGTTACAACTTTCTTAAATGCTTCAATTAGTGCTATGGGCAAATATTGTTTAAACTATATCCCTATTCTATATTCCTATTCTATATCTCTATTTTATTTTTTTTTATTTTTTTTTATTTTTTTTTATTATTAAGGTGACCTCTTTGGTCTTTTGACTTTTATTAATCACTTATCGGTATTGTGGTTTAATGAACCACTACAGGAGAGCATACAATTGGCTACATATATAACTTTTTTATATTACCTATTTAAGGAGTCTGCCCAAAGATTTCTCACTAATTGCTATATCTAATACCCTTGCTTAGATGTTCTACTTTAAATCCTCTGAATCTGTAACCTGTGTTAACATTACTGGTCATCTCAAATGTATCAGATTATCATCCTCAACCTTAGGACTAATTTATCCTCGAAGTAAACCCCCAGAGTCTTCTGTATCCATTTTTACAGCTGACTTAGGTATCGCTATGGCAGAACTAACACTTGTAGTCAGAGCTAACCATTAAACTGCTATGCCCTTATAGAGTTCACTTAAACCCCAGCATCTACTTCACAACATAATCCCAGTACTTTAGTATACCCCTGCCTTTTTCCCTGCCCTTTTACCAAACTTCCAATTCAGATAGCCTATGTAGGACTACGATCAGTTCATCAGTATATCAGGTCGGCCTGATATTCTTTTTCTTCAGTTCGTTCCAGTGGCCTGGTTGGTGGTACCTCCAAGACTCCTAGCCCAGAGGTTTTTGCCCGTCTAGCTACTAGGACCAGGTACTAGACCTGGGTATCTGTTTCCCCAGGCTAGTCTTTATAATAGGGCTGTCGAAGATTCAGCTACCTCTTTACTTAGGTCTTCCCAAATGAACTTCTTGTTACCTAATTTCAATGGATTTATATGGCCACAAGAACTTATCTAGTGTTTGCACCGCCTGATTTGTTGGTTTGCATTTCTCCATATAACTCCAACATTGCACAGATGCTCCATGACCTGCCAGTCATGCTGGTGCAACTGCCATTACAAGTATCCTAACTTAGTGTATTGACTTGATTATGTTATGTTCGATCATTGATCGATTTAGTTCAATTATCGAGCACCAATTAAGGGGCTCGATCAACAATAGGTCAATCAATGATTGATAGTGCTAATCGATCAAATGAATATATATTTGATCAACTAAAAGTTTTTTGATTATATATATCAGGAAGATAACAATTTATGCGCAATAGTTACCTTTCTAAAATGTAATCTTTAAATTTAATAACTTTCATATTTTAGTCTATATTAATTATAACATTGACACCAGTGAATAGCGTCAGCAATTCGGTCGCTTCTCAATCAGATATGTCGTGTTATCTATGAATCGGCTTAGTCGATAAGAGGCAGTTAGATTTGGCGAGTGGTATGTTTATGATCGTAGATATTATTATAATAACAGTAGGATATTATTATTAAGGGATGAATTTTATTAGAATCATGAACACTACTTCCTCTCTTCATAGGGCTTAAGGCCTTTATATATACTTTCGTTTATATAGGACATGTTATACATTGTATTCGTGTTATATTGCTTATACTAATTATAACATTTATACCAATTATACTGATTATAATGTCTATATCACTGATACTGATTATATTCTCTATACGAATTATAATGATTATACACTGTATCCTACTGATACCCATTATTCGCCGATACATAGTATACATAGTATACTGCAGATACAGCGTATACTGCCAGTAAACCTATTTCAGGTATATGATCTACATAGCTGTTAGTCCATTACTGTGCTACATCAATCACCTGCTTTCGACGAACATCTGGCATTACCATCCTACTGCTCACAACATAATCAATTAAATAAAAGCCAATTTATTTTTCTATTTGATAAATATTTACGACACAAAACTTATATATGCTAGACAAAAATAATAAAAATAAAAGAACTCAAAAGTTGAGCCAAAACAAATGAAATTTTTGATACTAGTATAGCAAGAAATTTGGTTCATCGGCAGTTTCGAACCCGTAATGCTACAAGTAGTGATGTTTTTTCAAACATTTATTCAATTCTCAAATGTCCATTATTGCTAGGAAAATATCTTATACTGTTGAGTATAGCTCTACTTCTCGTTCCTCGAAAAGTCAGCAAATAGCTTCTCTTCCTTTTCTGATGAAGTCACTTCTCTTCACTCTCAAGTGGACTTTATGTCCAGCTTTCTCTTGTTCCTTTGGGACGAGTATGGTGATGATTTTTCTTCCTCTTACAAGGACATATCTTGATTCTCTAGAGATGTTTCATCAGTAAACCCAATGGCTTGGGCTATAAGCAACGAAATAATGGATAGAGTAGACCAAAATAAGAAAAGGTGAATGGAGTATAGGATGAAGGATATATTTTAAAAAAAAAAGAACTAAAAAAAGTGAAGGTCAGTATAATTGGTAATAAAATTTTAATTTAATACCTACTACGGGACCTCAGTTTGTTTTTATTATTTTTAATAGATTGCAATATTCAGATAAAATATACAGTAGAAAGCAAGGTTAGCTCTTTATTGTATTAAGTCTTAAAATTTAAAGATAATTCATTATTTATAGACTAATGGTTCTAATATTTAAATTGCAAGAGAAAAGAAGTGATCAATCTGTTTCGTGTTCATGTGCCCCACGTGATTATTATTATAAAGCAAAAAGTAATAAATCGGATGATAATTATGTTATAGTTATTGTATGGGTCTGATATAACAACCCATGCATCACCTTCATCCCAATTTTAATATTATTGTCATGAAATATTAAATACACGCATTATATAACAGCATAAATAAAAAAAAAATTTATCTATGATTTAAATCATAAATTCTTTCGTGCAAAATATCAAACAATTAAATCAGAGTTCAGGTATAAACCTAATAAAGTAAAAAAATCACAAGTATTTTTTTTAAAAAAAAAGACTAAATCTATAATCTAAAAGTAAAAACATAACTACGTATAGAAATTTTTTAAAAATTCAATAACATAACCTCGTTTGGTGAAAATTATATAAAGAAAGTAAAAACAAAATAACATATGACTTGGTATAATTAGAATTAAAGAAAGCAAAAACTTAATAACGTGCAATCCGCCTAAAAAAGAATTTTAATAAAACACAAATCTGTCTAATAAAGAATTTAAAGAAAGCAAAGATTAAAGGCGAAGATCTAATAATGTTAATAAAATTTTAAAAAAAAAGAATTTTAAAGAATAAAAATGAAGATCTAATAAGTATGACTTATCCAATAAAAATTTAACAAAAATCCAACAATAATGCAACTCTATTTAATAAGAATTTAAAGAAATGAAGTCCTAATAATCTATCCAAGACAATTTTAAAAAAGCGAAAACAAAATAATGTCGACATCATCCAATAAAATTTAAAAAGACCTAATAACGCGAATGTCCTAATATTTTTAAATATGAAAACAACTTTAATAATAATAAAAATATTTAATTAAATCGGTACATTTCAAATATGAAATAAAACATGCCAATAAATGAGTGAAAAAAGCACAGGTAGTTACATAAGACCCATATAATAAATTACTGTACTTAACCCAACTATGTGTTTCTAATAAAAACCATGACATTTAATGATAGTTGATGAAATTAGTCGAGATTTTTTAGATATAATTTTCATAAAAGAATATAATAACTTGTAGATTTCATGAAATTATCAGGTTACTTTATAAGTGAAAGATTGCATGCCATTAGCAGGACTGGTATTATTAAAAATATTCTGTTTGCAGTATATATGTATAATTAAGATTAGTGATGCATAGTATCGGCTGGTGGTTTTTCAACTATATAAGTAGGCTAATCATAAATTATATTTATCAAGTGAAAGAAAGATTAGATACAGATTAGGATCACTTTAGTTAGAAATTTTATTAGTACGTTAAATTACACTTACTATAATAGTTGTTTGGGAGTTTTAACAATCACAATACTAATTTAGTTAGATGAAAGTTATAATTTAATATCGCCCACTTTGTTATTATTATTATCAATCAAGTCTAAGGGCTATTAATACTAGATTGGCCAATTTAACCTGATCTCTCACTTGCAGAACATTTGTGCAGTTAGTAATATATGAAAGTGAGCCATAAGCATATCATTTTTTGTTGATTTGCTGTTACTTTGAAATATAGCATATATAAATCCAGAATATGATTTGTATCTAGCAAAATTTTAGTGCTTTTTAGAATGTCTAGTTCAAAGAAGTGTAGTAATAAAACATTGTCCTCTCAACAAAATAAAAGAAGTCATAATAATGATAATGATTTGCTTTTTGAAGAGCCTCAATGGATTGATATTGGGAATAAAAGTAGTTGGGTTTGGAAATATTGTAGGGTAAAAACTGATGGTCATGCTTATTGTAGATATATTATAAATGAGAACGAAGAGACAGAATGTGGATAGAATTGTGTATATAACTCTCAAACTAGCAGTATGATTCATCATTTAGGGTCTGTACATAAAAAATACGAAGAGAAGTTAGTAAGTAAAATTTAAATAAAAATAAGATTATTTTTATAGTATATAATTAAAATTTTAATATTTTTACTCATGTATTAATTTTTAGAAACAAACAAAAATTGATGATCAATTAAAGAAAGTAATACCGCATAAAGAATCAAAACAAAATAAATTACAATGCGCTGTTACAGACTGGATAATTACAGATTCTCAACCTTTTAATGCAGTAAATGGATTAGGATTTCAGAAAATGATTAAAAAACTTGATCCAGCATTTCGTTTACCATGTTATAAAACTATTAAGAAAAATTTGGATATTGGATATCAATCAACATTTCAAGCAATAAAAGAATTAATTAGTACATCATGCAAGAATGCAGCTATAACGACAGATCTCTGAACTTTGTGTACAAAGAATGGGTATTTAGAAATAACCTGTCACTGGTTAAATGATGAAATGAAGTTATATAATATACTTATTTGTATTGAACCTATTAAATATCCTCATACTGGTGATCACATTTATGAAATTATTATTTCTAAAATTACATCCTTAGGTTTAAATGATAAAGTTAAAGTTGTAGTTACCGATAGTGGCTCTAATATGGTAAAGGCAATTCGTAAATAGGAAGGTGTTGAACGTGTACCATGCTCAGCACATACCCTCCAATTGTGTGTAACTAAAGCTCTTAAGAAAATTAAACTATATATAAAAAAATATAAAATGTTAAATAATTTTTTCAATTTGTCTAAACAAAATGAAAAATTAGAAGAAGCGCAATGCCAACTATTATTAAGATATGAGGATATTGAAGTTAATCAAAATGTACAAGATAGTTCAGCTTCAACTGACCAAGATTTATCTAATCTAAATTCGGAAATAGATAAAGCAACAACTTATACTTCTTTAAAAATCTTACAAACTATTAATGAATGTAATACTCAGTGGGGGTCTTCTTTGGCTTCTTGGAAATGCTTAAAAGAATTAAAAGGTTCTATATAACACGTTATTTTTAAACTTTCATTAGAAACTAGTAAAGAAGCAAAAAAAGATTATGAAATATTAAAAAAACGATTCTTAAAATATTGGAAATGGGACCTGCTCGATCATTTAATTGATCTTTTTAAACCAATTGAAAAAGCAACGGAGTGGCTTGGTGGCCAAAAGTACTGCACATTATCACTAATATATCCTACTATTTAAGCTTTAAAATATGATTATATAGTAACTGATGCTGAAGGTATATTTTTATTTTTTATTATTACACTCTTTAAGTTAGTAATATACATATTAAATTTTATATATTGTACACTATATACTATTTATCACTGTTTTCGAATTAGTGTGATAAGCGAATTCTGTGAATCCTATGAATCCTGCATATTATCATTATTAAACAATGGTAAATGCAGGATTTACAGAATTCGCTTATTGCACTAATTTGAAAACAGCGATAATACTATGTATAGTTGGGATAAGTGGTCAACTATATAAATCAAAACTGTGTATTATATAAAAATTAATTATTTTAAGTTTTTTTGAATTTCTTGATCAGAATAGTGATCTCGGAATTATTTATTACTTTTTATATATTTTAATATTTTTAGATGTCTAGAGCGAATCGCTTTACTTTTTTTAATTATTTTGCATAAATCTATTCTTAAATACATTTTAACAAAGTTACGTTAAAAATTTTTAAATTCTTGTATTGAATTTTTTATTTGCATTCTTTTTTAAATAGTTACAATACGAAACAGAATTTTTGTAAAGAACCAACTTGAAATCTAAATATTAATATTAAAAATTTTCAATATAACATGTTTAAAAATATATTTACTTTAAAATAATTGAAAAAAGTAAAACGATTTGCTCTTGACATCCAAAAACATCCAAATTATTCTTTACTATTAAAATAAATATTAAAAATAACAAATAATCCTAATCAACTATTTTGATCACTCCCTGATCAATAAATCCAAAGAAAATCTTGTATAATTAATTTTTATATGATACTGTATATAGTTTTATACTCAGATTTTAATTATAAAAGGATATTATTTTATTAAGCAATATGAAATTATACTAATTTAAAAATGATTAATTATTAGAATCTGAGTCAATAGGAGAAGAATCGAGTCAAGAAGAAGAGACTGAAGAAGAAGCAGAAGAAGACACTGAGGAGGAGACTGAGGAAACTGATAGTAGTATTAATAGACTGAATTTTACTAAAACTATTAATTTGGTCAAGAATGCAATTTATAATGCTCTTTATAATTATTTTGATTCTTCACTGAATTCAGTTTTATTTGCAAGTATTTTAGACCCTAGGTTCAAAAAAATGAAAGGATGGCCAGAAGAAGAAAAAGAAAAAACAATCACTTTATTAAGATCAGAATACACTCTTTTTAAAAATGATGAACTTCTAAATAGAGAGTCTGGGAATAAAAATAGATATCATTTTAAAGAGCCTAAAGAAAAAACAATTAGCAATTTTAAATCACGTCTGTTTGAAGAAGAAGAAGAGAAGATTAATGATGATGATGAAATTGATTGTTATCTTAGATTTCAGACACCACAAGCTAATAGTGATAAAGATCTATTTAAATGGTGGAAAGATAATAAGAAAGATTTTTCTATTTTTTTTAAGATATCTCAAAAATATTTAGGAATTCCTGCAACTTCCGTTCCTAGCGAACGCCTTTTTAGTGATACAGATAAGCAAATAACAGATAACAGAAACAGGCTTAAACCTGATACGATCAGTGAACTTCTTTTTGTTAAAAGAAACAGAGAATATTATAATTTTTATAATTAAAAAGTTATAATTTTACTACTATACTGATAATTACCCTTCACATACAAATTTACAAGATACTTTAAATTTTTATTTTTATTGCATATTTATAGTTGATTGTATATCATATGTCCAAAAATAAATTATATATTAGGATGCATGTTAATTTGGATGTCCGTATTGAGGCCGTATAAGCTATTTTTAAAGAGCCTGATAGTATTTTGTATTCTTTAATTAGAACTGGCATTTATTCTTTAACATGCAAGATGCACAGCCTTTAAAATTGATTGCTTCGAATCCAAGTTCCAAAGAACCAAGTTACGAAGCAACATTTATATTTTAGTAAAAATTGCTGTTTAAAAAAAGATAAAAAAAAATTTGGTTTCCAATAAATGACGAAAAAAAAATCTCGTAACTTTGTAAAAACTATTTGTAAGAATCGCTTAGTTGTAAAATTTTCCCACAACCCATGCATCTAAAAAAATGAAGCACGATTTTATATATAAAAAATATATTACATAGTTCATCTATTAATAATCACTTAAAAAATCATCGATTATTTAAAAAATAAGGAGTCCATATCATAACCGCCCAAATTATTCGAAATTATTATTATCAACCACATGACGCACCTATCAAAATGATAATTAATTGCGTCAAACTCATCTTCTCATCTTAAAACCCATCTTCTGTTTTTTAAAGTTGATCAGTTTATGGTATATATATATATATTATTAAAAGTTTTAATTTAACTCATTTTAACATATTCGTCAAAATGCATCATAATTTTTAGGATAGTATTAAAGTTATTACTCGGGTCAGAAATAATGACCCGGACAGGTCAAGGTATTTACCCGGGTCAACAGGTCATATAAAAAATCCTAAAAAAAAAAAAAACCCTCCTCTCCCACAACGATTTTCAATTTTTGCTTTATTACAGGTTATCGATTTTGGCAGGATAGGTTTGGGGATTATACTGTAATTTTTTAAAGTTGGTGTAATGCTCAAAAAAATTGGATCTTTCTAAATAGAATTAATACACTAAGTAAAATTATCTTTATTAAAATAATGATAATCAATAGCTATTGTAATAAAATTTACTAAAAACTATTAAGCTGTAACAAATTTTAAAGTGATGAAGGTCGAGTGGAAGATCTTTTATTTAAAGGAAAATAAAATAAAAGAAAAG